CAGCGACCTGCAGCAGCCCATAGACCTGAAGACCCTGGGCCCGTCTGCATTGACCAAGCACGTCGCTGCGAGCCACGAGCGGCCCCCGCGGCGGGACGCGGCCAAGCACCGTGACATCGAGCACCTGGCGGGGGGGGGGGAGGGGGGCGCACTCCCCAGCATAAGGCGCGTCCTGCACCGCAAGAGGATGAGCAGACGGCCAAGCAAATGAGATCGGCCAAGAACGCGCTGGTAGGACGTCTCTGGCCAGTGGCTCGGCGCTTCGAGGCTGAGCGCCCGCTGGCATCGTCGCCCCGGTGCCCCCGAGGGCGCCGGACACGCGGCGCCGTGCGACACCCGGCCCGGCAGCGCCCCGCCACGGCACCCGGCCGCGCCGAATGGGAAGCCAACGACGACGGCGACGAGGGGCGACCGCCAGACGACATCCACTTCAGGACCATCGTCGACATGGCCAGCACGAACGAGACCGAGGACCCTCCGCGGTCGCGAGCGCTCGCACCAGAGCACAGGAGGTCTCTCCCACCGCCCACGGAGGAGAGGGCGTCTCTCACGGAGGGCCGCGGCGACCTGGCGGGGCAACCCCTCATGGGCGACCTGTTCACGGACGGCAGCGTCCTGGACCCGAGCTTGGTCTCAGCTCGCGGCGGCTGGGCAGTGGTCTTCGCAGGTCAGGACACGGAGGCCGCCAGCACCTTCGGCCCGCTGCCCTGGCCCTACCCTCAGGAGTCGGGCGCGGCGGAGCTGGCCGCCGCCATCGAGGGGCCCCAGAACTGCACCCCCCCCGTCAGGATCTTCACCGATTGCCAGCTGCTCGCGGACGGCTTCGACGCGGGCAAGGCACGAGGCCCTGCAGGGAGCTCTGGGCGCGCCCATGGGCGGCGGTCGAGGACATCGGCATCGACAACATCACCATTCACAAGGCGAAGGCCCACGCGACGCCGGCGGACGCGCGGGCCGAGCGCATCACCGCGCGGCAGCGGCGGGGCAACCGCAGTGCAGACGCGCGCGCCATTCAGGGCGCACAGCTGCAACCTTCGGACGAGGCTGTCCGCGCGCGCAGCCTGCGCCAGGACCGCCTAGTCAGGCAGGTCCTTCGATGGCTGGGAGCTGCCATGCAGGAAGGCGACGCCGAGTTGACGGCGGAGGGCGGCCACGACGGCCCAGGCATGGCAGCAGTGCGGCGCGGCTGGCGCGGATGCAAGCTGCGCTGGAGTGGCCACTGCAGCTTCCGCGATTGCCCAGGGAGGACGCGCGGTCGGCACGGCGCGAGGCTGGAAGTCGGCAGAGACGCGCTCTGGGCTTGCCAGGAAGCGCTGGGCGCGGCGAGGCGATCTCGGGCTCGTGGACCTCGGGCGCAGAAGGCGCCCCGGGCTCCGTCGCAGCGGCCGCGGCGATCCTCGCCGCGAGCGCCGTGCTCCTCCCCAGCCAGGCCAGTGACCCGCACAGAGCTGCAACAGATGATGGCGGACGCCGCGACGGCGGCGGCGGCGGCGCCTCGGCTGGCAGCGGCGGCGCGGCCGCGGCGGCGCGAGAACAGCCTGCTGCGCAGCCGCCGCACCCGCCCCCCCCCAGCTCTGCCACCGCGGCGGGGGCTCGACCCAAACGACCCCCACGAGCTACGGCGCGCAGGCAACCACCTCTTCTGCGTCAAGTGCGGCCACCGGACGCAGAGCGGCAGGATGGCAGGTTTGGCGAAGGAGTGCCCGAAAGCCACCAAGAACGACAGGCAGAAGGCGGTCCTCGGCCGTCTCAAGCGAGGGCTACAGCCAGCGGGGAAGGGCAGCGTCGGTGACCCTGAGCCCTTGCGCCGCATGCGCAGGCGGATGGACGGCTAGCCATCCTTGCCTATCTTGAGCCAGGTCCATGTGCGTAAATTCGCTCACGCACGGGATCGGGCCCGATGCCGATGGCAATGCAACAAGTCCAAGCGTGAGGCCTGGACCATCAGGATAGTTGCGCTGCTGTCGGCTAGGTCGCTTCGACGTTGTTGGCAGGTTGCTTCTCACGCGTGCATGGCCTAGTCTCGGTGCGCGCGCTCAGTTGCTCGCAGCTTGCAGCGGAGGCTAAACCAGATGTGTAGGTTCGCCCACGCACGGGATCGGGTTCCGATGCCAGCAGCACCGCAACCAGTCCAGCAGAGGCCAGGGCCAAAGGACGGGATGCGATGCTGCGGGCAGTCTTTCTCTCTCTCTCTCTCTCTCTCTCTCTCTCTCTCTTGTCTCTCTCTCTCTCTCTCTCTTTCTCTCTCTTTTTTTCTCTCTCTCTCTCTCTCTCTCTCTCTCTCTCTCTCTCTCTCTCTCTCTCTCTCTCTCTCCTTTCTAGCAGCATGGTTCCGTATTCGGCGTTGCCATCTACCGCAGTTTCGGCTGCCTCTCTCGCGTGGCACGCTTCAGCGGAGGCTGACCCAGGTGCGCAGGTTCACCCACGCACGGGATCGGGCTCTGAACCCATGGGCACTGCAACCAGTCCGAGTGTGAGGCCAGGAGCCTTGGGTCGAGTTGCTTTGCTGATATTCAATCGCCTGTGCTGCGTGCCTCTTGTGCTTCGCTCAGTCGTGGCACGCTCGGTGCCTCCAGGCTCTGTCCCATTAGCGGAAGCTGAACCATGTGCGAAGGCTCGCTTACGTTTACACATAGGGTCGGGCTCCGATGCCAACGGCGTTGCAACTGTCATAGTGGGGTTTGCCCTCGGGAAATGTTGCGATGCTGGTGGCGAGGTGTTGCCCTGCGGCCGTTGCGCCCGACGCGCGCTTGCACTGCCTGGCTAAATCTGTCTGGCGCAAAGCGCCAGTTTCATATGAGCAGCACGGCCGTGGTCTGTGCTACACCTCACTGGCAGCATCAGGCTGCCCCTTGCCCTGCCGCGATGCGCGCCTTCCGTGCAGCTCTGCCCTGAGCGGTAGCTTCGGAGGCTGACCCAGGAGTGAAGGTTCGCCCTCATTCGGGATCGCGTTCCGCACCAGTGGCAATGCAACCAGCCCGTCTGTGGCCAGGAGCCGAATTGACGGGTTGCTGTGCTGATGGGGGTTGCAGTGGAGCGCTAGCCTTCGTTTCGGCGTGCTAACACGCCGTCCGTTCAATGTAGCTTCTGGCGCGCCGTGCGCGACAGCTGCCCGCACGTCTGTCGACGTGGAGGGTGACCCGAGAGCGTAGGTTCGCCCACGCTCTGGTTCGAACTCCGCAGGCGTGAGGAGCGACCGCGTCAGACGGAGTGACCTGGAGCCTTGGACCTGGTTGCTTCTCAGGTGCGGTGTACAGCAATGCTGTGTACCAGCCCGCTTGACCGAGCAGCGTGGCCTCTGCTAGCTGCCGTGCGGGCTGAATGCTGGGATCGGTCATCCGCTTGCCTCGGCTGAGGCGACTGATTGCTTTCGGCACTCGGACGAACCTGCGAGTGCGCGCCGAGGGGCACGTGACCGAGCGTTGCCGCCGCAGGGCCAAAGGGAAACGCTTCGGTCCGAGGGGCAGTACGAGCTAGGAGCTCCTGACCCCTTTCAGACGCGGTGATCATCATCATCATCATCATCATCATCATCATCATCTCATCATCATCATCATCATCAGCAGCAGCAAGCAGCATCATCAGCATCAGCAGCATCATCATACATCATCAGCATCACATCATCATCATCTCATCATCATTCATCATCATCATCATCATCATCATCATCATCATGATCATCATCATCATCATCATCATCATCAGCATCATCGTCATCATCAATCATCAGCATCACCATCAGCATCACCATCATCTCGGCATCATCTCACCATCATCAGCAGCAGCATCTATCAGCATCACAGCATCAAGGCATCAGCACATCATCATCACATCAGAACTCAGAATCAGCAGCATCAGCATCACATCATCATCATCATCAGCATCAGCAATCATGCATCATCATCATCATCATCATCATCATCATCCTCATCTCCTCATCATCCTTCATCCATCAGCAGCATCATCATCAGCATCACCATCATCATC